TTGTAATTTACAAAATTCCCCACTCTTCTCAATATATGTAACAATGATATTCACTACCTTCCTGGTTTACTGAAAGATTTGAAATAATTGATACATTTAGTCTGTAATAGTACTGGATAAAATGTAGCTACTAGATAATACTTTGTAAACACAACAATGCAAGAGCATTATTAAATGCTAAGTAATGTATATCAATACATAGAGTTGAAATTAAGGACTTCATTATGCAATACATAAAATCTATTAATTTGGGATTTTTTAAAACATTCTCTTGCTAAAAATTCACTTTACATTTGTTCTTATGTTTAATATCAAATAAATATTAACTTTTCACATATTTAACTTCATGACAAACCATTCAAAAACATTAAGCATATTGTATAAAGTCACATGATTCACAAGTGGCCTAGTTCTGGTCAATTAGAATCCAAAATCTTCATGTGTTCTCCATATCACCCTCCTTGCCACAGAATTGCTGTAACTTAGCATAGTTCATACAGACGTTTGTTGTGGCATTTAGGCCATTTGTTCAAAAGAGATATTTTTAAACATCTAAAAACATTTTCATTAGTGTATTTAGTAGCTCTGGTTGTAGCTACAGTCTCTTTTAGTAGTCTTATTAAACAGAAACAAAGAAAATTTCTGAAAGGTATGACAGTGGGTAAACTCTAGTGCTTGAGATATTCTTTTGTTTGTTTCTGTTTTATTTGAAATGTTTTATTAAAGATCGGGCTTTTAGCATGCCCATCAAATCCCTCTGCTGCCAAAGACAGATCTAAGTGGCTCCCTGGAGACTAAAAGCCTTCTATCCTTCTATGAATGTGAGCAAGAGAGGAATTATATTTGCCCACAAATTAAAATGTCCTTTATAAAAGAAAAGCTGGGAAACTTAAAATTCTAGAAGATACTAAAAGAAGTCAAGATGAAAGTCTTGAGGTAAATTATATTTGGTTTTCTCTGGTTTATTATTTGAAAACAGTTTGTTGCTATCTGGTACTTTTCTTTTTCTACTCATCTTCCTTATATAGGTTAAATAAAATTGCATTTGTCCTGCACTTGTTCCTTTGGAGGAAACCAGAAGGCATAACTGTAGAGACTTCCAGTTTCTGAGCTGTTTGTAAACATGTATCAACATCAACTGTCAAGCAACAAGCTGAACCCTTCCTGGAACAAATTGCATTGTGAGGTTCCTCAATAAAATTTGGTTTCTGTTTTAAGGTACAAATTCGGAATGTACAGATGATATATTTCTGAACTCAGAATCATTGTATTTCAGGTTTTCTAAGAATGGCAGGTGCTCAGACTGCTCTGTTTATCTTATATCACCACCTAAAACAGGTTTTCATATAAATGACTCCTAAAGTGGATTTGGATGCTAATTTTTTAAATGAGCTACATGTAAGCATTCTTAAAGGAAGCTCTTGCCAACTGGAAATAATAACATCCATCTATTATTTGCATACGATGCAGTGCCATTAAAAAACTACCAGTGACTCACCTTACAAATGCTGCTATTTTCAGGGCAGTGCATGAGTGATGTTAACAATACACCTTAAAAGGCACTATGTGATTGAGTATGTTGTGGATGGAAAGATAGATAAATGAACTTGTTATATTCCCAAATTACTGTCAGTAAAATATGTTCATTTGGCTATCACTATGTCTCTGCATTTTGCTGAGTCAATGAATCACATAGACATCAAAAAATCACTCTGTTGTATACAAAATAGCTACATATTTATAAATTTTAAAAAAGGAATGTAAAATCACCAGCATGAGATTATACAGTCCATTTGATAGAATTTAGAGTGTCAGCATTCTTATAGCCACTTGAGCCATCATATTAGCTGACCCTCTTATAATTGCTGTCTATAAAATAATAATTATATTTTATAAAAGTTATCAAAACTAAACATGAGCATCCAGAAGCCTAAAATATTATTACCAATTTGTGTAAAAGTTAGGATTTATTAAAAGGCCATGCTAAACAATACTAAGGAAAATTATCCTTGGAAAGGAATTCTTTGGCTAGCAGCCATATGAGTATAGCATATTGTAAACTTCCTAACAAGCATACCTCTCCCTTCCCCACCATAGATGACAGTCAATTAGTTATTTTCTTATTTGTGCGAGTGCATGTATAGGTGTTTGTGTGTGTTCTTTTAAAATATAATTAAGATGAGTGCCTGTACTGTCCCCATACAGTTTTGGGACACCATAAAAAAGCATTTCAGCTGAGTGACAACCAGATTACTGGTTTTTGCTAGGAGTGCTGACGCAACCTTCAATACACCAGGACACAAGAGGCACGGTTCTGCCTTCTCTGAAGACCATAAAATGGGTTATAAACTGCAAACGATGCATATTTGATACCAAAATTGAAACACAAGTTTAAACATAATTGCTTAAGCAAAAGTTTTAGTAGAAACTGGGCCTAACTACGATATACTGTTGTCAAAAGAAACATTCTACAAATTTTGCCTGTGTTAATACTAGCTTGCTTCTTCATGGCAGTTTTAATTCTAATTAAGACAAAGGTTTTTAATTAAGCTGTGAAGATCCTGGTAAAGGGCCTTCAGTAAAATTGTCCTTGGTGGTTCCTCCCAAGGTAATTCATTTCAAGAGACTCTGAAGTGGATCTCTTAACATCTTCAGAGAAGACATTTCCCTCCCTGCCTTCTGCCACTCCATATAGCAAACAGACTGAAAAAAGCTGCCTGCCTTTTGGAACAGGCAAGAAAAGCATCCCTGGTTTCGATTCAGGCGGCCTCCTTCTTTTCAAAACAGTTGAAGCTTCAAGTCCACATAACATTTTAAGAAAGCACATTATGTAAGTAGAGACAAACAGCAATTTTCCACATTTTATTTCTTTTCCTTCACCCCTCCCCCACCTCTCAACCCAGAGAACAAAACTAACTGCTACTACATAAACTCAGGAACTTGTTCCAGAGAGCTTCCAGCAAAACCATTTCTGTTTGCTAAGTATTTTCTTACAAACACTACCTTTTTCTCAGCTGAAAATTATTTCTTAAACAAATTAAGACTACTGCTGATTTCCAGGAACCCGGACCGAAGTAAATGATGAGGCATTAGTATAGGCAAGAATACAGGGGCTGGAGGTAGAGGAGGCCAGAAACTGCCTGTCTTTGATTTTTACTTTGCAAGAGTTGTATTACCACTCTATTCGCATTAATCTTGTGTTTCCCTATTTCCTTGCCTAGAAGGAGGTTAAAGCTGAAATAAATGGGAATGAAAGCAATTAAGGACAGATTAGCAAACACTGCACACTGCTCAAACTTGAGCTGGCTTTCAACCATTCCTTGAATTCCTGTCTAAGAGAAAAGGATACCAGCCTGAAAAACAAAAGGGAGTTGAAGCTAGTTTCGTTAACCTATCTTAAGTCTTTATGCAATCAGAGGGGTATTATTTCAGGAGACAGAAAGAAAGGGGCAAAAGATTCAAGTTGCTAAGGAGACATGCCTAGGCTGGCATTCCTACATAAATTTCCATTTATATTGAAGAGGGGAAAGAAAAGATATTTTCTCCAAAGTTTATTTGGATCCCCTGGTTACTGAAGAAAGGCATTTTGCCGGTTTATTTTATCTTTAGTTGTAAACAACCAACCCTGAAAGAATTAAAAGACCTAAATGTTGACCTTCTGCTGCCAACCAGTCCCCTCCATAGTGAATTAATCAACAAAAAGGAAAGCCTTCAATGAGAATTCTGAGGTGGTGATAAAGAAAAAGTCTTTTGCAAATACAAAATTAAATGTATGGAAGATACTTAAGCAAGGAATATAATTTGTCTTATAACATGAAACAGAAGACAAAGGAAAATCAGATTTTTTTAATGCTACTTCAACTTTATTGGAACTTGAAACGGTTCCAGCAAAGCTTTATAAATAGTCTCAGAGAAGATATGAAACTGTCAGGAGCGAATTTAATGAGTTTCTCAGTTGGGTGTGTGTGTGTGTGTGTGTGTGTGTGTGTGTGTGTGTGCGCGCGTGCGCGCGCACGCGAGTGTGTGTGTGTGTGCGCGCGCGCGCGTGTAAAAAAATCACTGGCAGGTCCTCTCGTTCTATCCTGCTTTCACTGTGTGGACAACAGCAGCAAGGCAAGATAGAAAGGGAAGAAGAGTTTGTTGTAAGAAATGAGTCGGTCGATTGTGCCTAAGGGCATAGTTAGGATTTTGGGAAAGGCAACTAAAAAGGGTTTAGGAGGGAATAAAGCCATAAAGTTCCTACCCCCTATCCTATCCCTTTGCGCTTTCAGTTCTCTCCGCATAAAGCACAACTTCCAGACAACTCTGTGTAGCTCTAGAAAGGAAAAAAAAAAAAAAAGTCTGGAGGAGTAATTTCTCACAGTGGAAGAGAAAGAAGGAATCAAGGAAGGAGTCACGAAAAAAAGGAAGGAAATCAAGTCTGTCTCTCCCAGCTTGAAATACCACCTCAAAATTTAAGGAAATAAAACCTAAATCAAAATTCATTGGGAGGGGGAGCGAAGAGAAGGTTGAATTCTAACAGGCAGAAACGTGGGCTGTGAGAGGTAAACTCAGGCAAATTCGTCTTGGGAGAGGAGAAAGAGGGGAAAACTGAGCAGAGAACCCCTAGGTCTTGGCAGGGTCAGGGCGGGTTTTGCCCGTGTCTTTTTTAACACTGCTGTGGAAAGCGGCACATTTCTTACACAGCTACTTCATTCTCGCCTTAAATGATAACAGCTACCCAAAATAGCCTTTCAGCGGTGGGGTAGGGAGATGGCCAGGGGAAGAGAGGGCGGGGACGTTGTTGTAGGTTTGGTGACCAGGGAAGGGAGAGGGGCGCCAGCGGGGTAGCCTAAGAGCCTAGGAGAGGGACCGGACGTTCTGCCAGGGCAGGTTCCGGAGCGGCTGGAGAGAAGGCGGTGGCAGGCGGGGCGCGGGGCACGGGGCACCCCGCGCAGGGAGCGGGGCGGAAGGAGGCTCGGGGCACGGGACGGAAGGGGGCGCGCGCGCTGGGCCCTCACCGCTGCTGAGCGTGGACTCGCAGTGCCAGATGTCCAGACTGGCGGGTTTCCGACAGGACTCCCACAGGGACAGGTAGTACTGGTGGTCAGCAGTGACCCAGGCCGGGCTCAGCACGGCCCCCAGGTCCAGACACAGCGCCAGGAAGATGCACACCAGCCCGACCAGCTTCAGTGGAGTCAGCACCGACACGCGCACCTCCTCCATACCGCTGCCCGCCGAAGCCATTCCGCGCGCCGCTGCCGCGCGCCCCTCCGGAGCCGAGGGCACCTGGCAGGTCCGGAGATCCCGGAGCCGGACCTCCCGACCAGGAGTGCAGCTGAGGTGCGGCAAGCGAGGACTAGTCCGTCCCTCGGAGCTGTGCGCTTCGCACTGCGAAGGTAGCTCTGTGGGTGCGGCTGCCCTGTGTGGGGTTCGCCGGCGCCGCAGCAACACAGATCCCGCCGCGGACCTTCTCTGTGCGCTCTGCCTGCGCCCGCTCCTCCCCAGAGCTGCCAAACTAGCTCCGCCCCGGCCCCTCCCCGGGCTGCAGGAGGCGGTGCCGCGCGAGGAGCAGTGGGTCTGCACCCTCTCGGTGTCAGGCTGAGCTCCAGGCGCCAGCGACTCCCTCTGCCCCGCCCTGGCCGTTGCGCTGTAGTTCTTCCAAGCAGCTGGCCAGGTGGCCTGCTTCGGACTCTGGGGTCTTCTCGCTTCTCTTCACTCTCAGGGGATTTCATTTTCTAGGGAAAAGGGGTGGGTCATTTTTGAGAAGGCGTCAAACATGTAGATTCTTAGTTTTCCTACGTTGTGGCCATGGAGCAAGGATGGCTCTGCTCTCTCAGCAATATAACATTGTTTTGCCGAGGCCAGTTTCACACCCTGAGGATGTGAGAAAGAGAAATGACACTCAGAGCCTTTCGTTCTTTCTTTCTTTCTTTTTTTTTTTTTTTCAAATCCAGGATGGAACTAGGAGCACCGGGGTCCCTATTTCCTCAGTTCTTCACCATCCCCCTCCCTTCTCCACTTCCGCTTCTCTTCTCAGGACTTGTCTGCTTTGCGCCCCCTATGAAGGGCGTTTGCTCAGGACACTGGCGCTAAAGTGGGAAGAGAAAGATTCTGCAAAATGTAAAGTAAACCTTATCTGGATCTCCGCTGTTTTGATCTTTGTTGGCTAAAACCTTAATTGATTGTGTTTTGCATTATATCCATTTAGATCTGAATCCCTACTTGGGTATTAAGCTGCCTTTGTCTCTAGCGTGCTCTAGTCCAGGACCTGCAATAGGGAAAAGTGGTATATCTCTCCTCTCTGAAACTAATCACCCTAAAAGTATATATTTATTAACTATCTATGGCTTAAGGATTCAGCCAAACAAGATATTGTCTGGTTCTTAGGAGAAGTTTCTTATTGTTCCCCGATGATTAAGAAACTAAACATCCCTTGAAATTGAAATTGTGGTTCTGTAATTGAATAAATTCAGAATGTGATTGGCAGGCTATTTGTTGACTACTTTCCATCCTTTATATATTTAAAACAATTTGTTTACTAAGATTATTGGAGGAGGCCAGGGAAAGGACATTTCTCTTTGCTGCCTCCAAAGCTTTTTGGAAGCCCATACAGGGGTTAAGACCTAAATAATTGCAAATATGTCCTCTCCCATTAGGAAATGTCATCCTTAACTCTTCAGGATGTCATTCTTTTTGTTTACAATTTTTTCTCTTTTAACACTTCAGAATGGAAATTACATGTTGTGTTAAGAATCTAGAGAGTTAGTATCTCAAGACTTAAAAATAACAACAAACCCTGTAGGAAAGTTTTAAAACTCATGTTTTCTATTTATAAGCACAAGAACTGATGATGACGGTCCCTTACCTATCCATCATTATGTTTATTACTGTGGGTTCTTTATAAAACAATACCTGTATACTGAAAAGTTCCTTAACCTGGAGTTTCCAGAAGTTTCTTGGGCTCTCAAATGGAAAGAAGCCTTGCTACATTTCCTTGAAAACATTCCTTAGGTACAGGGTAAGCATGAAAAGCAGAATGATATATAGAGATAACCAGGCTTGTGTTGTTTTCCTTTTGCCTGAACTTATGTGTTTGAACTTATGTATGTTGAAAATTAACATTTAAGAACTTTTATTGATCATATTTTCAGTTATAAAAATATTCTCCAAGATATATCATTTTCCATGTAATAATTTATTTTTGAGCCATCTAATCCATTATATCATTTTTATTACCCTTAATTCAGACTTTCTTCCCCTGCTACCAGTACCTCTAACCTCCAAGTCCTGATACTTATTTTACTTCACTTCTTTTTTTCTGAATTGTTCTCAATTGTTTACTTGAGTTACCCCGTCTTTCCTTGTACTACCTACCAACTGTCTAAATGATATCTTCAAAAATTAGAAAAATGAATGATTTTTAACAACAAAAAGCAAAATTCTAAAATACTCCTTCTTGCCATAGTTGTTTATAGAATTTACAAAACAAAATACAAATGAACATCCTTGGTCTTTTTTTTTTTTTTTTTTATGGAACTGGGGATTGAACTCAGGCCCTTGCACTTGCCAGGGAAGCACTTATTCCTCTAAGCCATCTCCCCAGCCCCAAAATCCTTGGTCTTAAGGTTCAAAATTCTCTGGAGGAAAATTTTTTTTTAATTTTAAAATGTATTTAGTACAGGGTCTCACTACACAGATGGGACTTGTAGTGATTGTCCTGTTTTCAGCCTGCCAAGTGCTGTGATTACAGGTGCATGCCACCACACCCAGTCTCAATCGCTGTTTTAGCGTGACCAGGGGGCGGGGCCAGCATGGCACACCTGGAATTGAACCCTATTCCCTGCATCTGCCTAAGCAGACGAGACAAAAATATTTTTTATTCTTTTTTTAAGTTTTTAGCAAAGTTATTTGGTGGCAAAAATCTATTTCAAACTGATATGAAGTGAATTGTGGTTTTGACTTATCTCATTGGTGTAAATATGTATGCATGCACAGACCCTTTTTGGCACTGTGTAGTTTATAGTATGACCACCACAGTTGGCTTCATATATCTGAAATATTCTTATTTTCTCATCACAGCTGATTCCAAAATTTTCATAAATATGGAAAAAATAATAGAGGGAAAGGAATGGCAACAACTGATAAACATTGAATAAAAATGCATCAAAAAATGTATCTGGCCCTGGCCAAACAGCTCTGCGAATTAAAGTGCCTGCTTAGACAGATGCAGGGACTGGGGTTCCATCCCAGGTGTGCCATGCCAGTCCCACCCCCTGGTTGCACTGAAACAGTGATTGAGAGTAGGTGTGGTGGTGTGCCCCTGTAATCCCAGTGCTTGGCAGGCTGGAAATAGTAGAATCACTACGAGTCTGATCTGTGAGGTGAGACCCTGTAGACCCTGTCCTAAATACATAAAAAGTTTTAAAAAGTATCTGACTAGCAGTGGGCTGGAAAGTGAAAACTAAGATAATCTACGTATATAAACACAATGTGGGGGAGAAGTAGAAATGGGTGCAGAAATAGAGCAAATGAAATCGATCTACAATGAACTATGAAGGTAGTTAGAGCCTCTTGCTCAGGAAAGTTGATACAAAATCTCTTAGAAGTAATTCTTTGTTGGCTAAATACTATCATATCAAAGGTATCTCCTTTCATTTATGTCTCTAGCCAAGGACACTATCACCAGTCACCCCTGTCTCTGGACTCAAGAGTAGCAAAAGTTGTCAGTTAAGGTTCTTAACACTACCTCAGTACAGGAACTCCATAAAAATCATATCCCTGAGTTGCTTCATTGGGGGAAGACAGGAAGAGGTCTCTCTTTACATTCTGAAGTATAAAAAGAGGTGAGATCCAGGCTTCGATCAGTGAGACCAAAAAAGCACAATAGTCAGTAGTGTGAGAGATAAGGTTGGTAAAAGAGACTGGAAAGCTTATCAGGAAAGTGGAATTGTAGCACAATTATGGTAGAGAGTAAGGAAAAGGAGAGGGGTACATTGCAAACCTTGAACATGTCTTAAGACTGTAAAGAGGAGCTAGTGTCATGCTGTCTCCTCACAGTCTATCAGCAAGGAAATCAACTCTGTTTGCTTGGGAATTAAAATATCCACACACTGAGGTGTAATCATGTTGGATAAGCCCACGGCACTTAATCAGTTAAAAAGAGAAAAATAGCTTACTCTTCAGGAATAAGACTAAAACATCTCATACATTGCTCAAATCACAGTTTGTCAGACTCATAGCAGCCACTTGGCAATGTCAGTCCTAAACCTTACTTTAGGAGGGTAATAGGGAATTGTTCTCCAGGTTATCTGAAGCTCCACCATCAACATTAGTATGCGGCAGTCTCTGTGCATCAGGTTCAGGACGACTTGCAGTCAAGTTTCTCCTCCATGACCCTGAGAAGGTCATGAAGTGTTGAGACCACTACAGGCATGTGATATTAAGGTCGTTTTGATGGAGATGGCAAAGAAAACCAAGAAATTGCTTCGAAGGAAAAACAAGTAGTATTGTTAAGAAAGATTAACAATACTATGAACTGTTTTTCCAGTGCAATAGGTAGTATGGTTGGCAAAATAGTGACACACAGATGCATACCTTCAAGGTTTACTGTCTCCAATCAGTTCTCAATGTCACTTCAGAAGGACTGTGAAATGAAATCATGATATAATGATGCCTGTCTGTTACTTGTGATAATTAATGAACTTAAGAAAGTTTCAGGTTACAGTGTATTATATATCATACTTTTGAGATTTCCTATATTGTAGCAAAATTATTGGCTTATATTTATAAAAATAGTTATAATGAATAATTAGTATTTCTAGTTTCTTTTCTAAAAAAACTACATTTACAATAATTAATAATTGCCCATCTAAAAATCTAAATTACATCATTTTACAATGTATTTTCCTATTTTAAAATGTAATGTTTTGTGTATTCAGGTAGATTTAAGTCAATAATTGTACTTCACTATTCATATTATGTGTTGATATTTGGATTTCAAGTTAATTGGTGTTTCATAGTTTTGCCCAAGACCATAATGATTTGCTCACTCACAAATAAAGGAAATAAATCATAGAAGTGAAAGCACTAAAGGACATTGGAGATGAGGATGATTAATTTTATAATAAATAAGTTTATTGTGATGAAAAAAGTGTGAGTCAGATGCCTAGCAGGTCAGAATATAGGAAAATTAGAATATCCCCAGTGGTACTAATTCTAAATGCCTTTTCAGTCTTTTTCAAACATTCATTTTCTTAACAACAATCCCTATGGGCACAAATCTTCCTCCACATTTACATTTTATTTGTGTTCATTTCTAGCTACATGGAGAAATGATCAGGTATAAGCACATCAGGATTGAATTTTTAAATCTTTTATTTCTCTCATGAAAGTCAACGTAGTTTTGGTTACAGTGAAGCAAATGCCTGCCTGCCAACATACTCTCATCCTGATAGAATTTCAGGTACCCTTAAATACCATCAGTGCCATCACTTGG